TTTTAGTCAATGATTTTATTTTATCAAACAGTTTGATTTTATTTAACAGATTTGATTCATTACCGACTTTCTTTTCTTCGGTGGGAGAAGGTTATACAGATTTGATTATTGGTTCACCTGGAATTGATATTAATGCCTATGAAATGGAAGTTTTGGAGATCGAGAGTCTGAGTGATCATAGATATTTAGCTCTGAATAGTAAACGAGTCTATGATCTTGGGGAGACACAAATTAGATACTCTAATAGTTCGAGGAGAGTTCAGAACTTTTGTCGAAGGATTAAAAATGAGGTTTATCGAAAAACCTCATTTTGATTGATCTTGATTGATAATGAAAAGGGTTTGAATGATTTGGTAGACGAGTTAGAATGCATTATAAAAGAAAGAGCTGATAAATGTCTTACAATTAAACATAAGAAATATCCTCTTTCTGATTGGTGGACTGAAGATTTGGAAAGAAGTAAAAGAAGAGTTAGAGCATTGAGGAAGAGTTCTCAGGTTGTTACAGTTTCTGAAACTGTCAAAATTGTGAGGAAAATATTGTATAAAAGAGAATTGGCCCGGTATAAGAAGCAGATTAAGCGTGTTAAGTATGAAAGTAGAATGAATCGTTTTATTAATACTGCGAAATATTATGATAGCTTCTTTAAGGTAGCAACCAATAAATTGAAGACTCGTCAGATTTACTGTAGAAAGGATTGCAATCAGATGGAAAATGCTCAGGAGCTTTCAGCTGGAATTATTAAAGAAATTTTGGATTTAGAGGAGGAAGATGATGGTCGGGAAAGTGAAGATATTGTGGATTTTAATAGAGAGGAATTTTTGACTTTGTGTAATGAGGCCGATGGTGATTTTACAGAAGATGAAGTCAGGTCAGCAGTGAAGAGACTTAAGAACAAAAGTGCTCCGGGCATTGATAATATAACTTCTTTTATGTTAAAGAGTTTGTTCTTAAATTTTACAGGATTTTATTTATTACTGTATAATGAATGTCTTAAATTATGTGTATTTCCGCGATCGTGGAAAGTCGGCAAAATTATTCTTATACCAAAAGAGAGTAAGAAATATCGTCCGATTTGTCTTCTTAAGACACATGCAAAAGTTTTAGACATCTTGATCTCAAATAGATTGAATCACTTTGTTGTTAAGAGAAATCTGATATCCGAAAATCAATTTGGATTTAAGAGGGGCTTTTCTGCAGATGATGCTTTGTTTGAACTCAGTACTTATATTAGAGAAAGAAGAATAGATGACCATGTCGTTGTGGTATCTTTTGATATCCACAAAGCATTTGATTCGGTGGATTGGCCCTCCCTCCTGCGTGCACTTTCGCAACTTGGAATTCCTCGTGATTGCTATCGTATGATTATAAACTATTTTCAGGATAGGACGATTGGTTTTTCAGTAAGATCTGATCTGGATAGCTATAGTTACTTCAAGATAAAAAAAGGATGCCCACAGGGGTCGAATAGCTCTCCGCTGCTCTGGAACCTAGTTATTAACGATTTATTACATAAGGAGTTACCTACTAATGCAAAATTTATATGCTATGCTGATGATTTAATAGTTTTGATGGCTGAGTCCTCCCTCGAGAAGATTGAAAGAACTTTTGTGAAAATTTCGGATATTATAGAAGAATGGCGTTTGAATAGAAAATTGAAATTAAATATTACCAAAACCAAGGCTATGTTCTTCTCGCGGGGAGGTAAACATACTAGATATCCCAGATTGCGATATAAAGGTGAGAAGGTAAAGATAGGAAGGAATTTAAAGTTCCTTGGAGTTATTTTTGATGATAAGTTATCGTTTAAAGATCATTTCGATATGGTCCATAAAAAAACGGATACTATTTTACAATTTTATAAGAGATCCTTCTCTGGTGAGATTTTAGCCATTAAGAGTAGGACTATGAAACAAATTTACGAATGTGTTATTGCTCCTATTATAATGTATGGTGTTGGAGCTTGGGGTTCTAGGGCGGCGGAGTTGCTGAGACTAAGGAACAAATTGAATTCTATCCAGAGAGGCTGGCTGCTGGCAATCACAAGACTTTTTAGAACTGCTCCTACGGAAATTGCTAATATACTTGCGGGCATTCCGCCCATCTCGTTGTCCTATGACTTTTATTATAAAAAGTTTTTATTGAGATCAAATAAGATTGACTTTTATACATATACAGATGATATTGTTTTTAACACTGCTTTTTATATTTTTAATTGTCATCTTTTACATCCAAGGGAAAGAAGATCAATTACTTTTAATAGATGCATTCCTGTATTTAATGATATTGATGTCTATACGGATGGCTCGGGGTTGGATGGAAAAATTGGCTTAGCATTTGTAGTGTTCTATCATGGACTGGAGATTGAACATGCGAAGTTTAAATTAGAAAAATATAATTCGGTGTATCAAGCCGAACTGATTGCTATACAAAAAGCCTTGGAGTGGCTTGTAAGAAATCTAAATGAATCACATATAATTACAATACATTCTGATTGTATGTCAGTTCTTCAAGCACTCTCTGACCCCGAGCAGCAAAATTTAAATATTCAAATTATTAAAAAATTGGTGATACAATTGGAGGTAAGGCATCAATTGAATTTTAATTGGGTTAAAGCCCATATTGGTTGTTTGGGCAATGAGAGGGCGGATGTCTTAGCAAAGGAGGCAACAATGAGTAATGATATTGAAACTGTCGATGTACAAGCCTCCAGGAGAACATTATGAAGCTTTGAAATTAACATTATGAAGTGTGACATTGTAGATAAATGGCGGACTCAATGGGAAAACTCTGCTAAAAATAATATGTTCATGAAGATTTTTGTTCCTAAGGAAAATATGAATATTAACAATGACATTGACTTGAATCAGTTAATTACAGGTCATGGGAGATTTCCCTTTTATCTGAAAAGATTCCATGTTCAAGATAATGATTTATGTAAAGTATGTACAAAAGTAGGAGACAATGTCCACTTTATTACAGAATGTAAGTTAACCAGATGCATTGATGGAGCGAACATAGATTTTATGAAAAATGGTTTACTTAAGGCAAGAGGAATAGCGCATAAGATTATGAAGATTATTAACAACAATAAAGAAGCCACTGGCATTGTGTGATTCGTGTATTTGTATAGTTGTGTGGTGATATTTGTACTGGCGTAGCCCGTATAGGGTCATAGGGCAAACTTTTGTTTTGCAAGGTGGACCGGGCTGTGCCCTAACAAAACAGAGTCCTATCCTTTCCAGCTACTATTGCCAACTTGCCTTTACGTTATTAAGCGTGCATTTCAGCTAACGTGTGTATCCGTTATTAGCATGTTTCCTTACACATTCTTCCGACGCATAATATACATGTTTTTGTTTTTATATGTCTTTGCTTTATTGTTTGCTACTTGGTCTAGTAATGCCACACCAATCTCTTCGATCAGTTTCTCGAATATCCATTAAATAGTGTTTGTTTTATTCCATGTGTCTTTGTTGCTTATTTTTGAATCAGAACTTTATAGAGATGCTCATTCATTTTGTCAAGGTAACCATGATCTGAATGAGCGAGCTTGATCTTCGCTTTATTTACAGCTACAACTAGTGTTACGGCGGAGTTGATATCTCGCTAGGTCCTCATGTCCCGAAAATCTTGTATCCAGACGTATCATTATATGCATATTAGGTAGAAATATGTAAATCGGAATTATAATATCTTAAATTATCAATAGCTCTGTTAATTCCTCATTTTAAATTCTGTATCTCCTCTTTCTTATCTAAAAGTAGCAAACGTTTGCACTTACTGGACTGCTTCTTTTCAAAATGAACCCATTATATGCCATCTTACGTTAAGGGGACTCGTACACCTTAAAACCCATAAGATCTTCGAATATGTGACTGTTGCAAGAATTGGGATAACTTATTTATTTTAAAGGCAATTACTTCCAACTTTTTACAACCGACTACATAATATGGTTGCTTTCTGAAATAGTAATCAGAAAGTTTGTGTTGCCACAAATATTTTTATAATTGAATGCACTTTGTGACGAAAATTTTCGTCATGTTTCCACCTTGCGCGCACAGTTTTAAAACATTCTGTTCATAATTTAATTCCACATTTAATATATAGTTTTAATAACTTTGATCTACTGTGAACCAAAATTTTAGAATTTCATGTTAATTTTTTATTATTTTGGAGTTGAGTTTATAAAATGTATTTTATTAAAAAATCTGTAATATTTTTTGTCTAAATTTTTTAATATTAAAATATTCATAGATTTTTGCTTCAGTTAGAAAACCAATTCCATCAAATTTCAAGTATGTACCCTTCGCCATTTTTAAATATCATGCGCACAAAGTGGAAACATGACGAAATATTTTGTCACAAAGGGGATTAAATTACAAAAATTTGTGGCAACACAAACTTTCTGGTTACTACTTCGCAAAGCAGCTATATTATATAGTCATCTGTAAAAAGTTGGGAGTAATTGCTTTTAAAATAATTAAAATATCCCAATTCTTGCAACAGTCACATATTGGAAGAGCATAAAGGGTTTAAGGTGTATGAGCTCCCTTAACGCACATGAATGCAGGTATGTTATAGCCAATCACTTCTTCGGGAACTGATACTGTGACTCTATTATCTCAAGCTTCTTCTAAATGCTTGGCCCTTTTCCCGTTTCGCCTTTTTCTTGCTTACACGAGCCACTCATTTCTCTATATCGTCCATTTTCTGAAGATGTTAACCCATCTTTCAAAATTATGGCGTGCATATTGGCACCCATAATGATGTGAATCAGATATTGCATCTGACGAATTGTTTTATCAAGAAATAAAAATCCGCTTTGAATTCACCCATAAGTGTTCTTCTAAACTACGCCGTGAAGCCTTGCCAGGTAACATCTACGCAATAAACAATTGCCAGTCCATTATAGCCATTCCCAAACCATCACATTGCATATATGTTTGCTTAATTTATATTGCACGGATAATTAAACATTTCCTTTCTTAATTTTTTAGAGTCGGTCTGGTTGCAGCCGGGGGCTGGGAGCTGGAGATCTGGATGAACTTGGAGATATAGTGAACGTGCTCACTTGTGGTAAGTCTGTTGGTTTCATTGGATGAAGGATGAAAATATTAAAGTTTTTGTTATTTAAGTGAAATTTTTGTTTACATTTGTTTAGAAATTTCTTTAAACCCTGCGTGTAACATATTATCGAATAAAAACTGCGAACTTGCGCGAATGAAATTTTTTAGGGGAGTTTTGCTTTATTGTTAAACTTTTTTGCTGTTTATCATAAGCACCATTACTGCCAGAAGCAAAGCACTTAATTAAACTAATCATTCTCATCAACTTTATTAAATTACAAGACTGCACTTGGTATTGCATATTTTGATTGCCTCTTTGCTGCGCAGACCCTATACGGTTTTGTTTTTAGCTGTGTATCTTTTTTGTAAGGTTTTATTATTAATTTGAAGTTTGAATAAATTTTCAAGCCATCCATGTCCATGTGTGTCTTTTTTGTAAGATTTATTATTAATCTGAAGTTTGAATAAATTTTCAAGCCATCCATGTCCATCTAGTTTACTTATTTAAAGATCACGTAGAACGCAACAAGCAATTCCAGTAAATTTCTCAACTAATACCAGTTTAAGTTAAACTGACTCTTCATTTGAGAACTGGCTCAAAGAACGGATTCATTTTATTGTGCGAGCGAACGGTGATTCGGCAGAACGGAATGGCAGCTCCACTAGACGTCACCGACGAGAGTTCTTATTGGAAGCGTACCGGAAAAATTCTCTTCAGATTTTAGGGGAGAAAGACATGTTCATTCTTCTTCCATTCAAAGAATTTTCTTCCATGTTAAAATAAAGTTTAATTATTATTATTATTTCTCAAAATTTTTAACATTTGTTATTCCAGAATTTTATTGTTAGTTCTATTTAGAAAGGACGTTTTAGAGAATATCGAAACTACAGTTGAAAGAAATCAATCGAGGAAGTTAGCTGATCAATTGCGTCGATTCTCCCGATCCCATTGCTCTTTCGATTCTTTCCGCTGTCAGTCCATGCGTGCATCCCTCTCTTGATTTATTCCCCATTCCTAATTTTATATCATCAAAGTTATCGTTAGTAAGTGATGAGTCGGGGAGAGGAAACAATTCAGTTTAATGAGAGAATAGGTCTGATCTAATTCCATAAAAAAAAAGCAGTTTCAGCCACTTCTAGGTGAAATGGCTTTGAATGCTTTTTACGAGATAGATGGAAGCGCAGCTGAAAGCCACGCACATGACTGCTGCCAGTGAAATAAAAGGAAGATATTAGGAGCTCAACGAAGGATAAAGTGGCAGGTGTTGAAGAAATTTTTTAAAAACTTGGGATTAAAGCCGCACTCAATATTTTTATTTTAACAAATGGCGGGCACTTGCTTATAACGGCATCGGCCACGATTAAAGCCAGAAATGGTGGCCATTTTATTATGGAGGCACCTAAATAGGAGGCCACCACTACCATCCTATGAAGGGACAGACTATTTTACGTCCATGCCTTCTCCGCTATTCGAACCACCTCAGGGGCTTACTCTTGTGAGTACGGGTGTGGCAATCCTGAGGCAAAGAAAATCTATGTAAAGAAGGAAAGGCTCCATAGACGTAATGTAAACCAGTTTGTCTTCTACGCCGCTAGAAAGAAGAGGGACAATTTGCCAAGGGATTTGGCGATGGAACCTGTTGGCGAGAATTTTCCCCTTTGTGATATACCTGGTCGAGATCTTCCACCTCCACCACGTGTACCGGAAATTCAGGAACACGGGTTAAGATGAATCGTTCTTTGACTTTTCGCGATAATTTAAACTCGAATTTTCGTGCTTTTTTGCTCTATTAGTTGAACTTGTATTATCCGTATGGCAGTTTGATGTCTGATTTTATATCTGTCAATATGTAAGAAAAAAAAATGTAGTCACACAGCTTTAAACTCTTGATAAACGTGACCGTCGAACCTGTTCGAACTTCGACATCAGCTTGTCGCTTTTTGGCGATAGGTATTTCACGCATGCGCAGTTGTGTCCCTTTTCGTTCGGAGGGTGCCACTCCTGCTGCTGCGAAGCTTTTCTTCTTAACAATACATATTCTTTGCCTGAGGTACCCTAGCCCTTCAGGGGATCACCTTCTTAGTGAGACGGGTGTCACGACCCCGTTAGCCCCAGTGATCTGTCTCATTTCCTTTTCTCCTTTTCTTGGCTTCTGCTTTTCCCTTTCTTTCTCCCATTGTGGTTTTTTCCTTGGAGGTTGGGGCTCCAGGTGAAAGACTGCTACTCCCCTTTGTTTCAGCTCTTCACTGAGAGTAAACTGCCCGCGTGTTTGCCGTACGTGGAGACCCGTAAGGCTGGAAAGGAGGGTCTTGGTAGTTGAGGGGCGAGCTACTGTCCCTAACACACTGCTTTGGCCTCTGCTTCAGTTTAACCTTCCAGCACGCGCGTATGCGCAAAATTTATGACAAATTCAGTTTTTAATGCACATTTTTCGTATATCGAAGCCAAGACGTCTGAAAGTCACTTCTATTCCTCCTTTTTACCCATGGAATGTGCCAACAGGAAGTCATTTCACTTTTTTCTTTTTTTAACTGGGCTTTTGTGCTACGTGGCAGCTTTTTCATAAAATTTACGACACGCGCGTGGTCGTGTTTTAAAATTTGGAAAATATTTTTTTTCTCAAATATTGTGTAATTTTGTGTTATTAATTGCCGTGTATTATTTTAATTTGAATGCATTTGGCTCTGTAAATTTTATATCGGTTTTCATGGCAAAAACAATAACCAGCATGGCAACCAGCTGATTTTGCTCGGATTCTTCAAGAATTATCTGATGAAGAAAAGGAAACCTTTGGATGGGAGAACAATAGCGATTTCCATTCCTTATTTTCTTTTATTTCTATTTTTTAGAAATAAATAAAAACATTACCTGGTACAAGTTAGTTTAAAGTGCGTTTTTGTAACCAGTAAGAAGTAAATTCCCTTGCAGAAGTAAGTAATGCTAGACTTACTTTTTTTTTCTACCAAGGTGTTTTACTTTTTTATTGTCTTTACTTGTCTTTGATGAATATTAAAATTAGCTTCGATTTTAAAATATAATTATTAAATAATAAATTTAAAATTTTCTGTAATGAAATACATCATTGCATTTCATCTCACTAATATAAGAACTTTAAAATAATTTACTTATATTTGAATATGATATCATTTGTATTTTGCAATAATAATATTAATATTTTACTTCTTAACAAATTTATTATCAATATTCACTCATTTCTGCCATTTTTCGTGCCAAAAACTGTAAAATAACGGATGTCGTAAAAAATACGACGCGCGCATGCTCATGTAAAATTACCAAGCGCGCGTGCTGGAAGGTTAAACAGGTGGTACATGCTGGCCCCGTATTTATCAATCGGCTAGTCAAATTTGTTTTTGGCTTGGGGTTAACTTTCCAGCTCGCGCGCTTGACAATTTTACATGAGCACGCGCGCGTCATATTTTTTGGGACATCCGTTATTTTACCGTTTTCGACACGAAAAACGACAGAAATGAGTGAATATTGATAATAAATTTGTTAAGAAATAAAATATTAATCTTATTATTGCAAAATACAAATAATATCGCATTCAAATATAAGTAAAAATTCTTATGTTAGTGAGATGGAAATGCAATGCAAAACTGAATTTGTCGTAAATTTTGCACATGCGTGAGTGCTGGAAGGTTAAGCAATCGGCCCAAGGCGTTTGACTTCCGGAGTACCTTTGCAACTTAATGCAATTACCTCCACAACTTCGATAAGGAAACTGAGTTGGATAAGAAAAAGCAATGGCTAAAGGAGAGATGAACAAACCATTAAGGGTTTACACTGAAAGAAATGAATAAGGAGTCCACATATGGGACGAGCATTCTCTCTGCTTTCAACTTGTAATTTAAGATTGAAAGAGAGAAAGGTGTTGATTGAGGCGAATTCCGGAACGCATTGCGTTAATGGAATCGGAAAGGTTGGAAGACAATCAGCCGGGAAACATAATTTTCCAGGGCTTGGGAAAGGTAATATTAGGTAATACGGACAGCCGCAGTGATAGCTAATGCCTTGGGGATGAGCGGGGGGGGGGAAGAGTCTTACGACTAAAACTGGAATCCAGGGAAGAAAGAGCGAAGAGGATAAGCAATCGGAGCATCTGCTGAACACCTCGTTAAGGGTGGTGGTCGATTCCAGGGATGATCTGTGAGTATAGACATGACTAGCACTGGTGCAGGCATCTGCATCCCCTTGTTGGACTCGATGGTGGGTGGTAAAGTCATGTCCGAAAAAATAATCTTTCTTTATTTTGAATTCTTCAAATATTTGTACTTCTCAAACCAACCTTGAGCAGTATTATTTGTATTTATGGTAATTAATAAATCAACAGGTCAATACGAAAGTATACGTGCTCTCGCAGACAAAGGACTGTTGAATCAATTGATAAAATGCAGAAGGAAACCTCTATTAATTCCGAAGTAAGATCTACTGAAAACTACAGATTCTTTGTTATAAATAACCTAAATAATGAATTTCAGAAAATGTCACCTTTTTTTGATAAACAAATACATAACTTCAGCAATAGGCGAACCAAAAAACATCAAGAAGTTTAGATCTGGTGATCTTGACTTTACCGATACTAGCAAATGGATGAAGGGTTACGATACATAGCGGCGTTGAAATTAGATGTATTTTATGTGACCATGATGTCGAGAAATGGGTGGGAATTGGATATCTCAAGTTCGAAATGGAACTTAATAGCAATATTAATGGAATTCATTGAAAGAACTTTATTAAAGTCATCTTTATTGCCATTAAACAGTGCAAAGGTATTGTCAACATAGTGGAACTAAACTGGAAAGTTTAATGGCTCAAATAATTTGCAGTTATAATCATATAGATGTCAGCAAGTATAGGATTGAGAGATCTTTATATGGCTAATCTTAGTCTGGTAGTAATACTTATTTTAAAAAACAAAATGTGTTTCAGACACATTTTGGGCCAAAACCTTTTGACTTCAAGTATTTAAATGACGTCACAAAGAAAGT